TTGTAACTGAACAGGAAGTCCGGCCCCATTTATCATTTGGTTACTCTGGAACCCTGAACCCCAGAGGCCATATCAGCAGACTAGTCAGTTCTTTAGTTTGACTGGTTACTGTACTAACAAACCAAATGTAAGTAACCTGCTTGCTGTGGATAGTAATAAAATAATAAAATAACAGGTTTCTAATTTTTAATTGTATAAAAGTTAAATTATTTTTAGATCTGAGAAAGTACAAGGTTAAATTCAAATTCAAATTTTATTTGTCACGTACACAGTCATACACAGTACGATATGTAGTGAAATGCTTGGACAACTGCTCGTGACCTAAAGAAAACAAAAAAGGAAAGGCTATGAATAAGATAGGAAATAAATATGAAAAATTAAAAAGGGTAAATTTAACTAGGAAGGAATAAAATATAAATTAAGGTTAAAAATGAAATAACTGTACAACACAAATTAGAACGAAGGGTAAATTTAACTGGGAAGAATAAGATAAAATATATAAATTAAAGTTGAAAATAAAATAACTGTACAACAAAATACACAATACACAATATAGAACTATATAAGAATGTATGAAGAAATCTAAATATAAATAAATATATACACAATAACAGCAGCTACCAGAAGTTACCATTCATTAGCCTCTCTCTGTGGGTTTCTCCAGTTCTTCTGACCTCAGGGTCATTCTTTCAAAGTCGCAAGTCTCTTACTTCCAATTAATCACATATAAATACTTATAAGGAACCTCTTCATGTCACATTTAGGAAGTACTCATCGTAGGTCTGGATACCTCGTACTGCATTCAAGCATGACTGCTGATTTGAAATGATTTTTTTCATTTATTTTTCCATTTTTATTGTCATTTTGTGGCTTAATTAGTGAAGCAGTGACACACTGTCCCTACAGATTTGTGAATTCCTTAACAGAAACATAATTACAGAGGCATCCGTGGTTGAGGAAGCACTTGGGTGCTGATAGTCATCACTTGCATACTGCATGCTTACATGCATACTGAGCCTGAGTCCAAATGAACCAAGTGGGCAATGGCACAGCTCTCTTAACTTTGCCCTGGCTAGTTTTTCCTAATCAGTCAAGTTTGTTTGACACTAGCAAACAAACTTAACTTTGGGAGTCACACAAACTTGGTTTGTGTATGGAATGGAAAGCCCACCCTTAATCTTACTAGGTGAACATCTTTTTTGCAGCATGTAGGGTCAGTGTTGTAAAGGGGCAGATTTTAACCTACTGCATGATTTTTTTCCTCAATATAGTACTTTTAGTACAATATTTAGTTTTATAGTACTTTCCTAAATGAAATAAGTTTTGGTTACTGACCCTAACCAGCAAGTAAAAAAGAGAACAAAAAAGTGAGTTTAAATAAATCTCCTCAGCGAGCAAAAACTCCTAAACAGACTCCCGGCGCACACACACACACACACACACACACACACACACACACACACACACACACACACACACACACACACACACACACACACACACAGTCTCTTGGCTGACAAACATGTGACTTTCACCTCATCCCTCCAAATTCCAAAAGTGGATTTGTTACTCTTTTATCCTTTTTTTATCCCTCTGTACAGTATATTCACAGAGCACTTTGCAGCCAGGAAGCATATCAAAAGCAGGAAAGGGAGAGTGACTGAAGGGAACATGAAGGAAAACAAGTAAGGTCGCATGTCCCAGGAGGCGGTCCCACCCCGCTGCAGGACAGACATACAGAGAGGGGGGGGGGGGGGGTTATCTCTGAAAACTGGTGCACTCCAATTATGTGAAAATAACAAACATAAAAAAACTGTAATTCTGAAAAATATATTCTCAGGCTGTAAAGTAAAAAAAAATTTCATGGGCTGTGGCTTTTTCCTTAAAAACTTTTGTTCTTGTTCACATATTATTAAAAGCAGACTATAGATACACTATTATTATTATTATTTTTTTTTTTTGCTTTTTGCCTTTAATGATCACAGCTGAACACACCTACAGTGTGTGTACAATTATGTAATCCTCATTCACATACAGCAATCCATAAACGGTGAAGCAAATCAAAAGATGAGTATGTTCAGTGTGGTTTGAGTCTTGTTAGTTCCTCTTTTGGTTCAAGTTAACATGGTGATTTGGCTTCGGAGAAAACGAAAACTGACTTGGATGTGGACAGACACAGTAGCTGGATTCCAGATGTGAGTAGTTACAGTTTTTTTGTCTAGTTGTTGATCTCCTATGGAGTCTGAGAGGCCTGGTAATAACAGACAAACAGGAAGAGCACCATCATAAATGTAGAGATCAAACACACACACACACACACACACACTTGGCTGTAACTCCAGTCCCGTGGTTCTCACTCCAGCAGTGAGCTCATTAAAATGTGCAAAGCGACCCTTTTCGTCTTCATTCCCTCTCATCTCTCCTCCACCTCGTCCTCTCTCATTTCTTTCCCAAATCTTCATTTTTCCTTCGACACGAACTATCACACACCGACACTCTTCATTAGTTTCACTTGAGATCCACTCACTGATCTGGGGTAAGATCACATTCTCGGCAGGCACAGTTCAAACTACTCCTTCAGTTGTATAACTGCTCAACGTGCACATTGTACACTTTTATATTCTTAGTATGTGTGTATGTGTCTATGAATGTGTGTGTGTTTGGGGGTGGGTGTCGCTGCTTTAATGAATGGTTGCCGGGTAGAACAGGAGGCGTGAGGGAGGAATTTGCTAATTATGAATGGCGCACTTCTCTCTGGTTGTGAACAACACAGTGTGTGTGTGTGTGTGTGTGTGTGTGTGTGTGTGTGTGTGTGTGTGTGTGTGTGTGAGAGAGAGAGAGAGGGAGAGAGTCCATGTGTGTGGTTTGGCGTTTGTGAGTGTGTGGTTGTGTGGTAGGCACAAGGCATATGCTCAGATGTATGCCTGATACATCTGAGTATATGCCTTGTGGTTGTTTTAATCAAGGGGTTGCTGATTTGAATCTGCTGACTATCTGGTGAGGAAATTAAATGAAGAATACTAATTACCACTGTACTGCTCATGAGCAAGGCATTAGATTGATCAGACGAGAATAGCACCAAATCATTGTTTCATATTAGAACAGAAGGGAACCCACATAACACTGATTTTGTGAAATCAAATGTAGTAGGTAATGCAGATTTAACTGACTGCAAAGGAGGTCTCCACACTCCCTGGTAATTATGGGGTACTCTAGACTAGTTTGTGTGTCAAAGGTTTAAAGCTGCTGAGGCCACTGTGGTGGAAGTGGTGACGTGGATGTCTGCCTTTGAGCAGGAAACAGCAGGAATTTTATTCCTTAAAATATACATTTCACTTTTTAAAAACTCTAACCCAACTTCCCAAAGCTTAATTGCCTCATCATCACCCTAAGCTGTTTTCACACATGAACTTCAGAGGGTATCAGGAGATTAGGTTGGAGACTGTCCAAAGTTCACATTTCTCACATCTAGGAAGCAACAGGAGAGAGTTCATTTAAGTGTACCAGAAGCACTCAGATTTAGATGAGACAGCTGCCTGGATGGAGTGTGCGGGAGGCAGGACACATGACTTACTCACTGCAAATTCAGTGGACCATCAGTCTGACAAACCATAAACTATCGACTGAGCCAGCTAAACTCTGGGGCATCTAGTGAAACCAGTTTTCACTTCGGGCCACTCATCACTGCATTCAGAGTGCATTCAGTTTTTTTAAAAGCTCTTCACAGTTGATCTGCATGCAGCTCAAGTCTGTTCAAACATGATCAAACTGACTCCAAAAAGTTTGCTGTACCAACGTTTTTGTGTCTTGCTAACAAATTCTGCACTGCATAAGAACACGCCCGCTTTGAGAGACTGCTGCATGGTCCTGATGAATGTTCAGTTCAACTCTGTTAGACATATCCTGACACGCAGTTCCTTTAGGTAAGGTCTAGAAAAGTTCAGGGCTGTTAAATAACTAATATTTAACAATATTAACTAATATATATTTAACTAATAAGTAATTTCAATCATTTTGTCATGTGGAGTGTGCATAGGTGAGCACCCAAATGCAGGACACAGACAGGCAGAGTGCAAATGAAGAATATTTCTACAATTACAAAATTATGTGTTTTATATGGTGAAATTAAAGCTAAGTGGAAGTAAAGTTCCAGTAAACGTGTGCATTGGTTGAAAATTTCCTTTTTATTTGGAAATTATAATTCCAGTTTTGGATGAAAATGTTAAAAAGAACATATTAGATTAATGCCCTTCCTCCTGCTGTACTCCCCCTGCACATTGCTTTGTAAGCCAGCCTAAGCCCGTATGATAAACAGGAGGAAATCCCATTTGGTTGCTGTTTAATCTGAATTTTCTGCTATATACATTTCACTGGCAGTAGAGATTATGGTCTCTCTAGGTAAGGTATACTATATAAGCCTGACTTCTGTTTAAAAGTCTTTAAATGCGTAGCATTTAAAGCATTGAGAATAAAGCTTTAATCACTTTTCTTGTGCAGGCTTTCCACCTGTAGCGCAGCGGCAACAGATCTGAGCACCTTGTTTGGAAGTTAGCAGTCTCTGCCATCACTTAAATTGACTTAAACTCTGAGGTCAACTTTTTCCACATGGATCTACTGCCTTAAAATAGACTGCTGTTTACAGCTGCAGGTTAGCTACTCACGAAACTGGGTCCCTGCACAGGATACACACACACTCACAAGACACTGCTTTATTTGGATGAAGCCGGGATGTGCGCGTAGTGTCTACACGAGGCAGATCGGTGTCTTGTGTAAACACTGGCTGGAGGTAAAATAATACAAAGTCTGTGTAGTTGTTCGTGTGTTTGAAAGATGCAGCGCTTTTAACTGCATTACATTACACAGCACACAGCGAGCTGTAACGTAAATATTGATCACAGCTTTGTGATCTATGTTTTTGTGGAACAGAAAAAAGAGGTCTTTGTGGTAAATTTACTAGGAGATTTTATGCTTCACAATAAGATCCTGGTTTGTTTTTCCAGGGGCAACCAGAGATATCGGATCAGCTCTGACCAGGATGTGCATGAGGCATCGCAGCATTGAGGCCAAACTTCGTCAGTTCACCAAGTAAGAAATTATCCTTCAAGCTCCCTTATTTCAAGTAGGAATTTGTTCCCTTCTGTAACTTTTTCCTCTGATCCTAAACTGCAGCCCATCAGGATCTTTCAGAAGTCAGAAAATGCTCAACTATGTGTGTATTTCCAAGTAAAGCTGACTTTGTTTTATGATGGGGCACATGTTTGGTGAGGTTTTCTTGACAGCAATATGGACTCCATTAGGAACATTGGTCTGTCTATCCATATTGAAGTGGCTGTAAATAAATATAGCTATGGCACACAATGCAAACCGCTCTGGAAACCTCACCAGAGTCTGCTTTCAACCATTGTTTGCCTTTATCTTCATTTTTTCTACTTTCTAATGACTTTTCCACAGCAAAAGCTATTACGCTGATGATGATGGTAATGGCGATAATGATCTATGACTGTGGTAATGACGGGGTTTTTGATGAATGATTTATCTTCAAGCTCTTGTGTGGCTTTACATAAAAGATGTACACATGTCGTAATAGTCATGCATTTATCTTAATATTTGAGCATGTGTATCACATGTGTATGCATGTGTGGACATGTTGTGGGAAAATGTCCAGTTACTAAAATTCTGAAGTAGAACAATAGGTGGAGGTGATGTATACATTAACATGTTTTCAGAAATATGTTTTGTACTTTTTGCACTGTTCTGTGGAGATCTGAATATTGCAGGTTTACATTAAACCAGTCATTTGTCACAATGTCACACTTAGGAACTATTTAATGAATCCCTGCTCACTGTCTCTAATACTGCCAGTGCATCTAACTTGCATTCAAATATCTACTTCTTTGTCTCTCCCACAGTGCTTTGATGGAGAGTCTTATCACTCCTCTTCAGGACAAGATTGAGGACTGGAAAAAGACAGCCAACCAGCTGGATAAGGATCACGCCAAAGGTACACAGACATCCCAGATTTGCTTATTCATTCAACTTCAACATCACTAAATTCTAACCCCATATCCTCACCGCTGAAGTAGCTTTAAGTGTACTGCTTATGTACGGCTCTAACAGAAGGGCAAATGTTTGATCAGCTGGGCTGCACCATTGCTATGCTAGCACAGGCTAGCAGTGAACAGAAAAAGCAAACTCTGCACACCATTTTAAAATGAGGTTTCAGCAGCGCTGCATGTGGCGTGTATGCCTACCTTGATCACATTGCAGCTTCTTAGAGCTACGCTCCTCTTTACCTGCTCATCGTCACTCCTTGTAAGCTTGTACCCCAGCAGCTGGAAAAGTAATGCCTGCAGATGTCCTAACTGTCAAACAGCCAAAGAATCATGTCTGAAAATGCCAAGGAAGTATTCTCATCAAGTTATCTGTTCCATTATCTGTCCCACTGCCAGGGTGTCAGATAGTTGACCTAAACTTTGAGGCAAAGCATGTTTTGGGGCTTCTGACGTAGCCGGGACACTTCCTGCTCTGTGCGCTGGTCATTCTTTACAAATGCTTTAAAAAAGACAAAGCCAGTGTTGTTAGGATATCATTGTGCCAAATACATGTTGTCTTTTCCTCATTCCATAAACCATACTACTCAGACTATGATCAGACTGAAACCTGACACCATGAAAATTTTTTCCAAACCAAACTGTATGTTCATATGCAGGAGTAGAACTAGCCTTTGTCAATATAAACAGGATATTTACCTGTTAATATGTGTTTCCGCAGTAAACAGGTAATCTTACTTAAACATTTGCTTCCACATCATTCGGTTCTAAAACTATACCTTTGTATACAACAGTGTCTAAACGGGAGCGGGTACATCTGAAACCAAACATAATAATCAGTGTTTCGCTGACCTCTTGGTGGTTTCGGTTCCTGAAAGTTAATATTGTTTCTATTTGAGTTATTATTGGAAATGCAAGACAGTATGAGTTTGCTCAGCAGCTTTTGCATTCGTTTTTCTAAAACATCTCTCTTTATTCTCTGTCAAGAGTACAAGAGGTCACGTCACGAGATCAAGAAGAAATCATCTGACACCATGAAACTGCAGAAGAAAGCTCGTAAAGGTAACGATCAGCTGTCTAACAGTCAAGCTCAGGCTCATGGTTGTCACTCAGACAGTTCTTGTAAAGTGCTGTTTGTGTGTTTTATGTATTGCAGCTGTAAATATATTTAGATATCCAGTTCATTGTTCCTACTGTTATTTATCTAAACACAACATCGTAAGTGTAAGGCTGCAGTTAATCACAAAAAATGAGCCATTTTGTATCTGACTGGCACTCTTGATAACAGACTACGTGAGCATCATCCAAACAGTAACTTGAGTCGTTATAAGTTTATATTGCCATCTGGTGGCGTTCTGAAAAATTACAGATCTTTTCTCATTTGTCCTGAATCGCTTTACCCAGTGAGGCAGCAGCCAATAATTGTTGGTTTCTTTCTGCTGCTGCTTCCGTTCAGTTGCCAGGCAGATTAATTTACACATGCAAGTTGTCTAAAATATATTTCAAGATAATTATTTATCATTATTGAAATTGTTGTTTTATATTTTATATAAAACATATACCCTTGAATGAGTATATAACACTCATTCAAGGGTTTGTCAGAATTTAAATGTATATTTATGTAGAAAGAGAGGGGGGAAAGCAAAATGCACTTTCAATTTGAAGTATCTTTAAAGTAGCCACATTTTGCTTTGATGAATACTTTGCACGCTCATTACAGTCTCTCAGCCTGCATCATGAGGACAACTTCCAAAATGTTTTCCTACAGCTATGATGGAGCTTTTCCTTCTATATGCACAGTAACTCATGCCTGACTGTGTCAGGTGGGTTTACATTACCATATTGTAGAGGTCAGGTCCTCTGGTGTAGTATTCCACACTCTGGTAGCCTTTACGTAGCCTACAGTTGCATTGCCTCATGGGAAAAATAAGAAAACAAATTGTCGTCCAAAGCACAGGTAACTCTTGGACTTAGTTTCCTGGGGCAGTCTTTGTGAGAGTCCATCATTTTTGTCTTTACAATTATTAAACAGAAAAGCAAGTCAATATGTTAATATGTCATTCCTCTTTACTTAGTTAGGTGGGGTTTGCATTAGCATTTATTACTGCAGTAGTTGGATGAGGCTAGCTGTGTTTGTTGTGCTGTGCTGGCACAAACACAACTAATGGACTGAAACAGAAAAAGAAAAAAGTTAACATTTTACAGGAAACAGCTATTTAATCTTTAAATTCTGTTTAGGGAGAATGGCTTGTAAGCACATTAGTATGTTGGAAACAGAGTAAACAGTATTTGTAAGGCGAAAAATGCGCCCCTATGGAAAGCAAAAAAAAATAAAAAATTGAGAGGTTTGCTGTGAACAAACGCTTAGAATGCTGGTAATGTGATAACAATAATAATAATGATAATGTTGATACTGGTACCTCAAAAAAGTTTGCACCATTTAAATTGGTAAGTTTTTTTTTGCTTCAAATCATATATGATCAAAATCAGTGAAAAAAGAAGAAGAATTTAAATTCAGCCTGTCTTCAGAGGTTTCCTGTGAAGCAATAATGTATATTAGAGAGGCTACTATTTAATATAAATTATGAATCTTAGTTTTCAGTTTGTTTCTCACTAAAGATTTTGTTTGTATTGATAAAAAGTCCCGTCATGATCATGTCAGTTTTTTCTAGCCTGATTTCTTTAGGAAGTCCACACCTTCAAAAGCAACCCAGTGACTGTGAATCTGAATGCAAGTTATATGCTTAGAGATGTCATTTTCTCACATAAAACAAGGGTAATATAAGAAATTATCTTAAAACGATAGTCTGATATCTTTGACGGGGGGTTTGTATGAGGCGCTTCACAGTAGTCAGTGCGTTACCTATTGTAGAAGTTATCACACACCTACTGTATGTACTGTAACTGAAAAGTTACCAGTGTAACAGATAAGCAAAGTCCTGCTTTCAAGGGTCAGCAGCAAAATGTGTTTTTTAAAAAAGTACAAAAGCATACCGCGACGTCACACTGCCCTTTCTCCTTAGTCCTCAGTCTGAACTTCTATCCATGCAATGTTTAAAGCCATCAGACATTCTAGTTCACATGACATGAGAGTTCATGTGGCTAAAATACGTTTTGATGCTGATCTCTTCCACACTGGCACAATGTTTCCACAATGTTGCATACCTGGGTGCATCTCCAAAATGAGACAGCTCCACTTTTGAAAACCTAAACTATCCTTTAACAGGACTAGATTAACAGTTAAACTGTGCAATGTCTGTTCCTGTGTCTGATAAGCCCCATCGCAGCTGATGCTTGAGGATATTATTGTTTCTGGATTGAACTTTTAGTTGCAGCTGTGTTATTTTGCTCTAACATTTGGCACTGTGGCTGTCTTGTGATGACTTCCTTGTACTAACCCTAACAATGAGTTCTGCTATTTCTGCTCTCCCCGCCCCTGTCACTCTCTCTCTGTTTCCTTTCTCTTTCCTTACTTTGCTTCCTTTTTTTCTGTCTCCCCCTCTCACTGCTACGTCTTTCTGTCTCTCCTCCCCTCTGGTATTTCTATAGAGATGCAGGGTAAGTATCAGCCTGCCGCTCGCTGCTCTACCGCATCACATCCTTTTCTTTTTAAATTTCCAGCATTTGCCTGCAGGCAGTGATTATTACTAAATTTGAGGTCATGCAAAAGTTTTGGGGGTATATCAGGAAATTGTCTTTCATAATGAAATAGTCATGTAAGCAGACTTAAGGGGAATAGAGAGAACCTTATCAGGGCTGGATTAACCCACCACAGGGACTCCCATAATAAGCTGTAGGCTTTTGTTTAATTTAACTCGCTCTCGGTGCATAAATTGTTATTAATTAGTTATGAGTTTATGGTAATGTAATTAGCATACAATTATTTTGTCAAGTACACCATATAAGCACATTGCAAGCTGAAATAATAAAGCCTTAAAGCCAAATTTCTATCTGAGGCCCCATTACAACACAGGTGCTTTTAGGCTGGTGCCACTCTAGTTTAAACATGAAACACGTACTGTGTGTGTCCTGAACTGCATCACTCTCAGTCTGTTTTCTTCATTTTAATCAGCTAAGTCCTCCATTCTAGTCTGTGTGCAGAAAATGTGCAGAAAACAGTTTGCCCAGTGGCCAACGGAAAAACTGACATTTGTATTTGTGTTGAATTTCCCATATTTTATTCCTCCTTTGGTGCCAGAGAAACCAGACAATGTTCAAAAGTCTGCATGACCAGATTTGAAGATTTAAAGCTTTAAATCAACACAGAAAAAATGATAAAAAACTTTCATTATCTTCTACAGAGCAGACGTGTTAGGGTCATTGTAGAAGATCATGCATTTTGTCAGAAAATTTTAATTTGCCTGAAACAACTGATATTGAGATTTTTTTGTGACCGGTGATTCATGAGGTGGGGTAGCAATGTTGTTAAGTGATGTTAATTTATAGGTTAAAATATACTTCTGACTTTTCTGCACAAACATAATTATTTGTAGTCTTTTTACCACAAATTGAATGTCACATTTTGAACCTAGTTACATAGTTACATACTGTGCCCAGTGGGCAATCCAGCCTTGCTTGTAATGGGCATCATTCTACTGAGCCAACAACAACATGACAGTTTATTTATTGCACCTAAATGGTCAACTGGGGTTTAGCTTTTAATTCTCCATTGAAACTAATGAAACTTGTAACCATGACCTTTTTAAAAACTACATGAACTAGCTCCAATGCTTCCTAAACAAGTTTTGCCCCTCGTGACAGATTAGAGCTCAGCGTCTGTAGTTAGCTGTCGTGTAGTGTCACTTTTAACAATGCATGATGTAACTGAACTTCTTCCTTGACTCCTGCATGACTTGTAGCTGTTACTATCAGCTTTGTAGTGACACTGCAGGCTTCAGTCTGACTCTCATGCTACCCCTCCTCGTCTGTTATCTCTGCCATTTTGTTCCTCATTCTGCTCTTACATGCTGTAAAACTACAAAGAAATTTTCATGTCTTGCTTTCCATTTACTGCATTTGATGTATTTTTAGAGATAGCAATCTTTTTTCAGATTACATATGCACTTATATTTAAGCTTTTATTATCAAGGTATTGCAGTATAGTTACAACAGATATGATAACATTACATTTTTAGCAAAACTTTTAGCGAAAAGTTAGGAAACTGACTACTGCACATTAACATTAGAACAAATACAGAGCTAAAATAGCTTAAAAACAAACACATAAACAAGTTGCTGCTTTTTTTGTCTTGGTCAAAATTTTATAATCTGTACTAGCGGTTGGATGAACTCCTGCATTATGAGAGATATCCACATTTAGTTACATTAACACTTTTCCACACCTCCATCTTTCTTTCCTTTTTCATTTTCACCCTCTGATGAAAACCTCTACCTTCCTGTGTCAGTCTCTGCTCTCTCGTTTGATAAACGTCTCTCACCCACTGCTGCGCCTTCTCCCACCCAGGGCGAGGGGACCTGCAGCCACAGCTCGACAGTGCCATGCAGGATGTGACCGACATGTGCCTGCTGATGGAGGAGACTGAGAAGCAGGCGGTGCGCCGTGCCCTGGTGGAGGAGAGGGGTCGCTTCTGCACCTTCATTGGTTTCCTTCAGCCAGTTGTGGTGAGGACACATATGGAGGAAATGTGATAGACTTTAACAGCAGGAGGAAAGATGGACAGATGAGGGCAAGCACTGTCTAAAGTAACTTTTGAAGTGCTGTACAGAGAAGCATGTTCACTGAACAGCTCCACTGATAATTACTGTATTTGAACCCTTATGCCAGAGGCCATTGTTTGATATTGCCCCCTTAAAAAACAAAAAACATGTATTTAGTAGGGGTGCAACGATACTCGTATTGATATTGAACCGTTCGATACAGTGCTTTCGGTTCGGTACGCATATGTATCGAACAATACAAAATTTGTAATTTATCAACTTTCCTTCTGACAATGCTGTCTGTGTTGAGCGCTCAGTGAATCTGCGTTCGACTGCTCCGCCTAGGCTGCACTGTCAAGCGCAGATCCACTGAGCGCTCAACACAGACAGCATTGCCAGAAGGAAGAGCACAGGGCAAGCTAGCGAGACAGAAGTTAAGCGAGAGGGCGTCACCCGTCACTATGGCAAACATAAACAAAACATAAGTGTACAAACAGAACCCCGAACAGCCCTGACCCACTACATAGCCCCCACCTAAGGGGTCAGTCGTCCCCGACTACCCTATTACCCCACACAAAGTCCTGCAAATGTCCAGGTGCCTTCTTTTGGCGCACCGGCCGGTCATGACCGGCGGGGGAAAAGTCACTCGGGTCAGAACATGGGGTGCCACCATCATCCCACTTCTGACACCAATGTGGCGAGCTCAGACAAGGAGGAGACGGAGGTGTCGTTTGGTCTTGCTTCCCGTGAGCTAGCCAGGGAGCACAGCCGTTTATTGACATCTGCAGAAGAACACTGCCGCTAGCTAACTGCTCAGCGCGGCAACCGCACAGCAACAACAACAACACACAGGGCGCCCATGTGGAAATGTACATACAATCAATATCAGACTCCACCAACAAAAAGGCTTTCAAAACAATATATGTATGTGAATTTTTGCGTGTATTCTTATAATTGTTACCTTTTTCTTTTACCCTTGGCTTTTTGTGTTCATGTTCTGTTGTTTTGTATACTTCATCTGTTCGTATATTGTATACTCATTGTTTGATAAATAAAGTTGGAAAAAAAAACACACAGGGCGCCCTCTGACCCCAGAAGGACACACCGTCACAGCGAGAGGGCGTCACCCATCACTATGGCAACATAAACAAAACAACTGTACAAACAGAACCCCGAACAGCCCTGACCCGCTACAATATGCTGCTGAGAATATAGCCCAGAAGAAGCGTATAGTATAGCTTTTATTTTGGAAAGAGCCATTTCTCTGTAATAAACTCTCTTTTCCAAAGATGAGTGATTCCTCAATCAGATACAGGGCTTGCAAAATCGCTAGCCCGACGTCCCGGGGCTAGCGATTTTTCCAGTCGGGCTACCAAAATCTATCTCTGCCCTGCCCGTCGGGCTATTGTAGGAAGAGAAAATATATGTCAATGCTTTTGCATTCTTTCGGAAATGTAGCTGGGTAATTATGTCACTGTCAATATGTGACATATTGAAATCGCGTTTGAATTTGCGCTTGTTTTTTGCTTTCACTTTGCAATCGTGCGAACTGTGTATAGAGAGCGACAGCACTGATTGGTGAGTGATGATAATTTGCGCACCAATTCCTCTGACATTGTCTTATCAATCGTTAGCTTACTATGCAAACATGACAAGTGAAATCTCCCGCAGCTTAAACATGTGAGAGGTTGATCGCGCAGAGAATTGCTGAGCGTTATGTGTGTGTGTGTGTGTGTGTGTGTGTGTGTGTGTGTGTGTGTGTGTGTGTGTGTGTGTGTGTGTGTGTGTGTAAAAGCAGCAGGATATTTATTTTAGTTCTGCTGAGCCAAATAAGACAGGTCAGGGTGAAGAAGTGACAGCCAAAGAAAAGTTTACCACAAAACGGAAAAGTTATGACAAATCAGACTATAAGGCAAAAAGAAAGTGCAGCTTTATGGTTTCATGGACAAAAGAATTTCTGTGGCTGCAATATGACGAGCTAAATAACCAGGGCTGCACATAAGTGGTCCGCAGGTGCGCATTCACTGTCAAAAAAAAAAAAAGAAAAAAAACGCGCACAAGATAAGAAGTTGCAACGCGTGTTTGCATACATAAGATTTTCTGGAGGAGGACAGACATTTGTTTAGAACTCTTAAAGATGTCGAAGAAGCTCCTTTAAGCAATTACTTTGGTGTTCCTCCACCTCCAAACAATATTATACTTTAATGTATAATATTGTAAAGGAAACAAAACATCAATCAAAAAATTGCTCTCTTTTTTATTCGGACTACTTACATTTATTTTGGGCTACTAAAAACTGAAGAGTCCCTGCCCGAAGGGCTACCAGGGATTTTGAAATTTTGAGAGCCCTGAGATATATTAATTTTTTAAATTACTTTTGTTTCAGCAACATTAAATTTAAAAACTGTACTTTTGAGTTAAAATATATATTTATAAGTTTAATAAATGACAAATTAAAAAGGCATGAACATTTTTTTTGTATCGAAAAAATATCGAACCGTGACACCAAAGTATCGAACCGAACCGTGAATTTTGTGTATCGTTGCACCCCTAGTATTTAGCTACAAAATGAGTTGTTACTTTATGTGTCGTACTGACACTTCAACCACATTATCTTTATAAAGACAAGAAACTAAACTGGTTTGCTTACAGTACCTAATTTACAGTTTAATTATATCACAAAAAATAATCATACATAAAAATAACTAGAGCTCTGAGTATAATTAACTGTGTTATGGTTGTTGTGGAAACTGTACACTGAGAATCGTTGGACTTTAGTGTAAAAGAAAAAGTAAAAATGTTTTCTATCTTGTTTTAAGAATGGAGAGATTGCTATGCTGGGCGAGATCACCCATCTCCAGGCCATCATCGATGACCTCACTGTGCTGACAACTGATCCGCACAAACTGCCCCCTGCCAGTGAACAGGTGAAAAGCATACGCAAACATGACATCCAGAATACACAAAGACAGAAACAAATAGAAGACAAACCTCTGACTCCTACACGTTCTCTCAGGTGATTAAAGATCTAAAGGGGTCCGATTACAGCTGGTCCTATCAGACCCCTCCGTCATCCCCAAGCAGCTCTGGCTCACGCAAGAGCAGCATGTGCAGGTACTCACACACAAATACACTCTTATCCATACACACACAGGCAGTGTTCTGAGTATCAGAAAGAGGAGCCATCCTTGATGTTTATATGTCAGTGTGATTGTCAGTCGTTTTGTCTACATGTCAGTCTGTCATTACATTCTGTGCAGTCCCCGAAAAACAAGTGTCTATGGGTGATAGAGCTACTCATTTAACCCCAGAAATGTTCCTTCATAATCAGGCTGTGGTGATTCTGCATAACTATTGGACTGATCAAACTGGACCACATATAGCTTTAACATGGCCATTAAAACATGATGACTGCCAAAAACTGACTGAAAAATATTAAAAAGTAAACTTAGCCAGCAAATTAGAAAATGCTGAGTGAAAGGTTGCCTGTTCAGGTAGTTGAAAGGGCATCAGAAAAAAGGATGTTTCTCTTTAAATCCAAATGTCTGTTGAAATGAAAGGTCATTTATACATCTCCAAAAGTTGATTCTGTTCATCTGGACGTAGCGTTTTGTGGGAGAAACGTTTTGTCACTCATCCAAGTGACTTCTTCAGTCTCAGCTGACTGCAGGTTTCAATCTTATAAACAGTACATTTGCATAATGACTGAAACCAGCCCACTGAAGGAACAATGGGCTAGGAGGTCAGTTCCTTAATCTTAATTATGCAAATTCTCATGACCATTGATCAACAACCACTGATCAAAGCCCACTGATCAATGGCCATGAGTACCATTCACAGAGAGTTGGGGAATGGCTGCAATCACAGCATTCTAAGATGGCGAAAGATGTATCCTTAGGCCCCCTCCTCGATTCATAGACGGTCTTTCCCTTTTCACTTAAATGGCCTCCTTGACTCCACGCTCAAACCAGTATTCTTCCCTGTCCAGGATGTTACATCCTCATCATTGAAAGAGTGTCCACTGGCCTGTAGATGTAAATAGACTGCAGAGTCCTGGCCTGACGAGGTAGCTCTTCTGTGTTGTGCCATCTGCTTCGCCAGAGGTTGTTTGATTTCCCTGATGTATAAATCCTGCCAATCCTCCTGGCACTTAACAGCGTACACTATGTTACTCGGGGGACCCGATCCTTGGGGTGGACCAATTTTTGGCGCAGCGTGTTTTGGGGTTTAAAAGCCACAGAAACCCGGTGTTAAAAAAAAAAAAGTGTCTCAACTGTTCTGATACTCCTGACACATATGGGATCACTACAGGTTTTCGCTTATGGAGCGGTTGTCCTTCTCTCCTGGATCGGCTGGAGCTTTCTTTAGGTGCCTTTCCAGCTTTGACAAAAGTCCAGCTGGGATAACCACATTTACTCAGGGCCTTCTTGATGTGCTGTTCTTCTGCCTCCCTGGCTGCTGTGTCTGTGGGGATGGTGTTCGCTCTGTGTTGTAGTGTCCTGATGACACCCAGTTTGTGCTCCAGTGGATGATGAGAGTCAGATGTTCATCCTCCAGTGAGGTCGCTCAGATGTTTTAGTCAGTGGTTGTTGATCAATGGTCATGAGAATTTGCATGATTAAGATTAAGGAACTGACCTCCCAGCCCATTGTTCCTTCAGTGGGCTGGTTTCAGTCATTATGCAAATGTGCTGTTTATAAGATTGGGGAAACCTGCAGTCAGCTGAGACTGAAGAAGTCACTTGGATGAGTGACGAAACGTTTCTCCCACAAAACGCTACGTCCAGATGAACAGAATCAACTTTTGGAGATTTACTTTCCTGGATGATTGAGAATGCATCAAGACGTCATTTATACATCTGATGAAGTTAGTGCTTCAACAAGCTTTTGATGATTGGGTCATCCTCAGCAGAAGCACTGCCTTCAGACAGAAAAGCATTATAAATAAATGATAATAAAGAATCTAGGACTTTGGCCTTAAGATAAGTTATGACAGCCTCTCTTTTATAAGCCAAATGCATAAAAAAACTAAATACTTTCAAAAGACTACAAACTGATTTCTATGGTTCTGTGAAGCAAACTGTATGAGTGTCAGTGCATGTGAAGCGGATTCACAGCATTTTGCCTTCAGTGTTTACTGTGTGTATAGATGTGTGTGTGCTGGATCCTTCTAAGTTTACACACCCTCTGTCTACCCCCTCCTGTCCTTTTCTTTCCCACTTTTCCACTCAAAACAACTGCCATTCTGTGTACTCTTTTTCACTTATCTTCTATTACTTGTGTCTTGTTTGTGTGCATTCATGTGATTTGCCCTCTTTCTCTCCTGCTGGATCTTTGCTTACCTGATTTTGTTGCGGGTCTCTACTTTTAACTGTTCCTGGTGTGTGGCTTTACTGCGCATCGCACTGCGGGTTTTCACTGACCTGATGAACCAACGATTTGCTGTAAACTCCTCTTGGTCCTTCAACCCATCATACGAACTTCCAACACTTCCTTTAATTGTCAATCTATCACTTTCTACAACAACCAACCCCACTTCTTCTCTCTGAATTCCACCATTACTTCTCTAATCATGCTGTCTCTCTCTGATACTGCCTTCGCTCTACGCTGGGAATCATCACCTCCACATTCCTCACACCTCCATCGCTCTGCCCCCTCCCTTCTCCTCTAAACCTTCCTCCCCCAACAGCAGTGTAAACAGCACCCACAGTAGTGCCTCCCGTTCGTCAGGGGGAGGTGGTAGTGGTGGTGTTGGTGGCGGAGGCTCCTTGCCCCACTCGCCCACCTCATCATCCTCCTCCTCCTGTCGCTACCGCAGCAGCCTGCCGCACCAGCCTCCACCACCGGGGGGCATTGCTGCCCACCGCCTCAGCAGTGTCTCCTCACATGATTCGGGCTTCGTGTCCCAGGATGCCAACATCTACTCCAAGCCACCCTCACCTATGCCCTCAGACATCACTAGTCAGGTACAAATGCCTCATGGACAAATTTACATTATTTATGTGACCCGTTCAGAGTTACTGTGGCTTAAATTGCTGGCTTCCAATGACACACGCACAGCCTGAAAAAGACAATGACACAAAATTTTTGGTCTCTATTTTAAGGACAGCCAGCAGGTAAACTAAACATTTCAGTGTAACTTTAAAATAACAAAGGACAAATATTTGAATAGAATTTAATTACTGGATATCTAATGAAAAACATTAAGTTTCACACATGTGTTTTGGTTCTTGGTCTAAACTCTTATCGGTTTGTGTCACTCTTATTTCTTTCCTGGTGTAGAAATCATCCAGCTCAGCATCATCAGAGGCCTCAGAAACATGCCAGTCAGTCAGTGAATGCAGCTCCCCCACCACTGTAAGTATTCTTATTCATAATATATAACATGGACAGTCTGAAATGCAGCATAAAAAAAATTAAAGCAATAAAAGTGTGGTCCTAAAAAGTTAACAAATAAAGGTCAGTGTGTGTACAAGTAGTCCTTATGAGCCAAAAGCTCAGGCTTCAGACTTTCCTAACACTCTGTTTCTGAGAGCTTCCTCCTCTGTATCATGTCAGAGCGAGAGGATATCACTAATATGCACAGCTGTCATTGTAAACACAGACGACCCATCCTTGTGTGAAAATTAGCTTTAAGCAGTGGCTCCCAAACCTTCTCTGGCATGCTCCAATTAAAGAGCCGAAAAAATGAATAAAAAATTAGATGATTTTTATAGTGTCAAAAGACTCTTGTTTGTTTTTACCCTCAAAAATTATTCTTAGTTATGATTGTTAGACATAACTATTCTTCTGTTAGTTTCACTTGATACTTATTCATACTTATTCATATTCACGCTATGTATGCATGGTGCATACATGTAGTATTGAGTATATAGTGGGTCTATGTCCCAGTAGCGGGGCCCAACTTAAAGAGAGGGGGGCTATAATGATTTGCTTCACATGGAGGATGGAATGAAGGCCCAGTATAAGAGAAACAGGAATTATTGTGAGCTGTGGATCATACAAAATTATTCTAGTTAGCATAATGTGTGTCCTTTAAGATTTTTACACAGTAATCATACAATCATACATCATACTTGTGGTCAGTCTGTGACATCACTGTCGAGAGATTAGTTTTCCCTGACAGTGCTGGTTTATTCTTAAGTTAAACTCTCAGTTTAGGATATATTTACAAATACAGCTTAATGATTGGTGGGGGGGGGAAAGATAAATGAATTACTTGAAATTAAAAATTAAGCTCTGCTTCATTTAAGTTTACTTCAAGTTTCCTCATCTTGTCCAAATCAACCAGATTTCCACTGAACACCCGTCAGATTCACACCTATATTATCTGTAGTGTTTTCCAGAGACATCAGGCAAGAACAACAAAATGTAATTTCATATAAGATTGAGCAATTTTTTAAACAGCTGTGATAATTGTGGTAGTATAAAGTCATTGTTGATACAGAATTACAAGGTAGCGCACAACACATGCTGTTTAAAATGAGACGTTACACTCATCAAGGTAGCAGGACGTTCATAAGATTTTCAGGGATTTCCGAGAACAGAAGGAGACTTTGATTTCTGAATGGTAAGTCAAACTTGGTGTAGAGCTGACAGTATTAAATCTCTGGGGCCTTGATGTGTTCTCCAGCAGAGAAAGCTTTGTGGTACCATTAAGCAACATCATATCAAACACCGCCCACTTACTCACAAGAGAATAGTGAGGCAAATGTATTTGAGACACGAGGGTTTGGTTGAATTTATGCATTTTCTCCAATTTAAAAAAATGTTCATTGCAGCAATTAGCATTGGAGAGCTCTGTTTTCATAGGCACATGGGGCAAAGTTGTATCTTCCTCAGCATAAACCACCTACACATTGGTGCCAGTTGCAAAGTTGGCTTTAAGATTTACAGCCATTTGCATCTTCCCCTGCTTACCAACTGAAAATAGGAGCATGTAACGCCGGTCTTCTGTGCTTTTAATTGATGGAGACATACCCAAATAAAGCTCTACAAAATCAGAGACTTGTTTTATTTATGTTTGGGAACTTGTCTCCTCCTCTTCCATTATACATTCTTTAGCCAGTTTGCACACCATTATATAAATCATGCTTGCAAGGCAAAATAAATATTCATTTCTGATCTTAAGCAGCATCTGTCCTCCGTACCAGCTTGCATATACTGCTTCTCTTTCCCTTGACGTGTTCACAACCATCTGTGATCCATCTCTAATTTGACTGATACACATTGTCAAGCTGGACCGTGTGCCCCACTTTCACTGGTTATCTTGACAAGATTTAGCATAAGCATCACGAGGCAGACTTGCAGTCTCTCCTGTGCATTGCATGTATTGGTTATTTCTGGATGTTCTTAATTAAATCATCATGGAATCTGAGGCAGACACACTAGACACATGACACGTTCCATTAAAAACTCACGAGACAATTAAAATTTGCCTGCTCCCCTAAAACTGATCTAAAACCCTTTAGATCAGTTTCATCAGCTCATCTCACTGTATCCACATCCAGCACCTTTGGGAAAATGGTGCAACAGCTCCATGTACATGCAACAAAAGCAGAGTTACTGTGATTTCTACCTGAGCTCCTTTACTTTAAGCCTTTCCTTGATCACTGTACAAATCCCACAAATATGCAGAACTACCCAAGTTTTCTGTGGTACCTGATGCACAAGTGCAACAATTCATCAATCTGAATTTTTGCTACAAATACATCAACATAAACGTGTTAAACATACAGTATCTGACTAAAAATTAGAAGTAGGCTTTGTTGATGTAGAGGCTTAGTCCCACTCTAATCACACTTAACTTGCATATAGAGTCATTTTGATGCATGGCAGCAGTAACTAATTGTGTTTCAAGAGGCCCATTTTGGTTTCAGCTGTATTGTCTATCTGTTTCTTAGAATTTGGTGTGTGTGTGTACACATGTTTGGCTTTTGTTGTCGTGTGTGGCCCAGTAGCTGGCTCGCTCTCTCTCTCTCTCTCTCTCTCTCTCTCTCTCTCTCTCTCATATATATATATATATATATATATATATATATATATATATATATATATATATATATATATATATATATATATATATAATGTCTGTCTGCCTGTCTCCCGCTCACTCTTGCTTCATGTCTGTGGCTTTTCCATTCTCTGATGACATGACTGTGTCTCTCGTCCCGCAGTTTGGCTCGTCCTTCGCTACCTTCCGCCCCGCTCTTTTTCACTCTGGCTCCACCCGGCCTCTCTCTGTCATTCTTCCTGTTCCTGCGTCCCCACCCTATAACCGCCCCCCTGGATCCAGCTCCTCCTCTCCCACATCAAAGGTTCCTATGTGGAAGGTTTGTTCTCCATTCGCTTCCATTTCTTCAGTTGCACATTTTCTTCTGTTTCTGTTTAACAAGTTAATGCATAGAATTTATTTTCTTTTACTTTTTATCACCTGATTAACTCATTCATAACCACATTGCACTGCTTCATTGCAAGTGTTCATCCCCACTTGCTTTGTGTGCATTTTATTTGGCTTCATCTGCCTCATTGGTTTTACAGTCTGCCAACTGGTAACTGACCAAAACCAAGCAGGGTCAAAGGTCATCAACATATACATGCTCTCTAACACTCGAAAAGGCCTCTGTTCCACACATTCTGACCTGCACACAGTCCTTGATGTACCCATAAAGGCCCCCTCTTTCTGCACTCAGATGAAGGGCATCAAACTGCTGGATAGTGGACAAGTCGTGTGTGCTAATGTTACCACCTACTTCCTGTTTATTAATTCCGCTCACCTCTTCAGGACTGGTCCAAAGCAGGTCAGTATGAGCAGCCTGTGGCTGCAGCGGCAGTCCAGCGAAGAAGGGAACCTCTTGATAGGCTGAGGGAGAGTGAGGCATCACCGGGCTCCCAGGGATATGCTGGGCCATCACATCCTGATGATGGGCAGAGAGCCAGGATGACGCCAGCTAACATCGCTGCCAAGGTAATAGTGAAGTTGATGATACTGAAACACGGGCTGAAGATAGCAATTTGTGTGTACGTCTGTACAAATGCATGAATATGTATAAAGTATGGCCTATAGTACAGGGTGGGCCATTTATATGGATAAAACCGTAATAAAATGGGAATGGTTGGTGATATTAAAGTCCTGTTTTTGGCACATTAGTATATGTGAGGGGGCAAACTCCTCAAGATAGGTGGTGACCATGGTGGCCATTTAGAAGTCGGCCATCTTGGATACAACTTTTGTTTTTTCAATAGGAAGAGGGCCATGTGACACATCAAACTTATTGGTAATGTCACAAGAAAAACAATGGTGTCCTTGGTTTCAATGTAACTTTATTCTTTCATGAGTTATTTACAAGTTTCTGACCACTTATAAAATGTGTTCAATGTGCTGCCCATTGTGTTGGATTGTCAATGCAACCCTCTTCTCCCACTCTTCACACACTGATAGCAACGCCACAGGAGAAATGCCAGCACAGGCATCCAGTATCCGTAGTTTCAGGTGCTGCACATCTCGTATCTTCACACCATAGACAATTGCCTTCAGATGACCCCAAAAATAAAAGTCTAAGCGGGTCAGATCGGGAGACCTTGGGGGCCATTCAACTGGCCCACGACGACCAATCCACTTTCCAGGAAACTGTTCATCTAGGAATGCTCGGACCTGGCACCCATAATGTGGTGGTGCACCATCTTGCTGGAAAAACTCAGGAAACGTGCCAGCTTCAGTGCACAAAGAGGGAAACACGTCATCATGTAGCAATTTCAAATATCCCGTGGCCTTGAGGTTTCCATTGATGAAGAATGGACCCACCCTATCTCTCCCTTAGAGATAGGGTGAGAAGTTCGGCCATCCGGGAGGGGCTCAGAGTAGAGCAGCTGCTGCTCCACATCGAAAGGAGCCAGCTGAGGTGGTTCGGGCATCTGACAAGGATGCCCCCTGGGCGCCTCCTGGGTGAGGTGTTCCAGGCATGTCCCACCAGGAGGAGGCCCCGGGGCAGACCCAGGACACGCTGGAGAAATTATATCTCTCGGCTGGCCTGGGAACGCCTTGGTGTTCCCCCGGATAAGCTGGAGGAGGTGGCTGGGGAGAGGGAGGTCTGGGCCTCTTTGCTTAGGCTGCTGCCCCCGCGACCCGGTCTCGGATAAAGCGGATGAAGATGGATGGATGGATGGATGGATGGATGGATGGAAGAATGGACCCACTATCGTCGTACCCCATATACCACACTAAACCATCACTTTTGTTGGTCCAACAGTCTTGGAGGGATCCATCCAATGTGGGTTAGTGTCAGACCAATAGCGGTGGTTTTGTTTGTTAACTTCACCACTCACATAAAAGTTTGCCTCATCACTGAACAAAATCTTCAGCGTGAACTGAGGGTTCTGTTCCAATTTTTGTTTTGCCCATTCTGCAAATTCTGTGCGCCGATCTGGGTCATCCTCGCTGAGATGCTGCAGTAGCTGGAGTTTGTAAGGGTGCCATTTGTGAGTAGCTAATATCCGCCGAAGGGATGTTCGACTGTGCTACGCTGTGGGCTCCTGCTGAATGAAGCTAGGACAGCCACTGATGTTTCTTCATTAGTGACAGTTTTCTTGCGTCCACATTTTGGCAAATCCAACACTGAACCAGTTTCACGAAACTTAGCAAGCAGTTTGCTAACTGTAGCATGGGAGATGGGTGGTCTCGTAAGGTGTCTTGCATTGAAATCTGCTGCAATGACCCGGTTACTGCGTTCACCAGATATCAACGCAATTTCGATCTCCTCCTCACGTGTTAACCTCTTCGACATGTCAATGGCTGTGAACAAAGAGAAACTTGTAAATAACTCATGAAAGAATAAAGTTACGTTGAAACCAAGCACACCATTGCTTTTCTTGTGACATTACCAATAAGTTTGATGTGTCACATGGCCCTCAGCAGCTCATATATCATTCACTGTGGAATACATCTGAGACAGTCAGCTAAAGACTTGACTTAGTTGTCAATTTAGAAAAAGCATACAAAGCCTATATATGTCTACAAAAGGCTGTGAACACAAGTGTCCTTGTCAACACAAGGTACGGCACAGGCAAAACACTTCCAGGTTCTCAGGTGGATGTTTACAAATGAAACAAAAAACAAAACTCTTTTCTTTTTGCTACTGCATTTTAGGACCAGAAACCTTTTTTATTCTATTCAATTTGTAGATTAGGGTTTAGTTTTCAAACAGCGGGTTGCTCAAACTCCAATGCAGTGTTTCATTGTATGTTCTCAGCATGGAGAGGAGGTTTCTCCAGCAGCCAGTGACCTGGCCATGGTGCTTACCAGGGGACTCAGCATGGAGCAGCAGAAGAGCAACAGAGACTCCCTGCAGTACTCCAGTGGATATAGCACAGAGACCACAACCCCATCCTGCTCAGAGGACACAATTCCTTCACAAGGTGAAACTAATCTACCACACTCTTTATGGCAGCATTTAATCTCATTCGGTGCCCACATATATTACATTTCACCTGGCCACATTCATCATCTTATTTTTGTAACATTCCAGGAAAAGCAACCTGTTAAGGGAAGGTGTTTTTTTAGGGGAAATATCAATATTTAAAACTTCTGCAGAAGTTTATTGTATTCCTCCCACTAGCACTCCTACCATTGAGTGTAGTTTTACCAAAATCAGATTAAGTGAATCCATTTAATCATCCAGGCAGCAGCTAAAGTGTATGATGGATGTATTCTGACAGTTTCTCTGACAGCAGTTGGAAAATGACAATATAAAGATAAAATTGAAAAATATTAAATGTGCTCACTTGCTGGCTTGCTCTACCAAAATGATGTAGCTATCCCTGTGTTAATCTAATAAAGCGACCACAGAACATTGTCTTTCCTCTGTCTCTGTTTCTGGCACATATAGTTCAATCATTTCTCTAAAATCTCATGAATACCTTTTTTTGTTTTACCCTCTGCTCTCCTCATATTAGGTTCAGATTATGACTGCTACTCAGTGAATGGTGATGCCGAAGGTCCAGATGGACAGACAGAGTTTGACAAGTCCTCCACAATTCCTCGCCACTCTAATATTGCCCAGAACTACAGGCGAATGATCCAGACCAAGAGGCCAGCCAGCACAGCTGGCCTGCCCACTGGCGTTCTTGGTCCAGGGGCTCATGGGATACCAGGGCAGCCCGGTGGAGCTGGTGGAGGTGGAGCAGGGACTCCAGGGACTGCCACCATCCGCCGAACCCCCTCTACCAAACCTGGCGTGAGGCGCACGTTATCCAGTGCGGGGCCCATCCCCATTCGACCACCCATCGTGCCTGTCAAAACACCCACTGTCCCTGGAGACTCACATTCACCTGGTGCAGGTGGAGGGCACGCTGGTGGCGTACCTGTCCGTGTGGGGAGTGAGGAATGTGTGTTCTTCACTGGAGCTGAGGATTCACAGGGAGCGCTTGATTATGTGAAGGCATCACCAAAGCGCCTCAGCCTGCCTAACACCGCCTGGGGATCAGGGGCTGCGTTAGAGGTCTATGCTCAGCAGCATGGGGGCCTTGCAATAGGAACAGGCTCGGGCACTGGATCAGAGGAAGATCAGATGATCGCAGCCAATCGGCACAGCCTAGTAGAGAAGATTGGCGAGCTGGTAGCTAGTGCACACGCCCTTGGTGAGGGCCAGTTTCCCTTCCCTGCCCTCCCTGATGACCCAGCCCCACCACCAACTGGCCCCACTGACACTCAGACAGGGACCGAAGGGGCAGAAGGGTCTGGTGACATGCTGACCACCATCAGGAGAGGAGTCCGTCTTCGCAAAACCGTCTCCAATGACCGCTCAGCTCCCCGTATATTGTGATCGGAGGAACAGCAGAAAGAGGATGATGCTTGTCAACCGAGAGGGAGTCAGGTGTTGGTGTGATGCAACCCAACCACCTAGTACATACACAAAAACTTAACCATGTAGGGAAAGCTATAATATAACAGAAGACGAATGAAAGCAGAAACATACACAAAAAAAAGTTTAAAGACACCATTAGAGTAATGATATATAATATAATGATAATAATAACAATAATAATGTTAACCCATGCTGACAGTTAAAAGTTAAATGCTGAACATTGACAGGCTCCTAGCAGGCCACTATAACTAGTGTGTGTTGGACGCATGTTTGTCTTCTATACACCTTCACCCAGGGAAGGAAAGACTCACAGGACAAAAAAAAAAAAAAAACAGATATGATTTTTTAAAAAAGAGGCAAAGAAAGAGAGAAACGCTGGGTTCTGTTCTGTTTTGCCAACTTACACCTTTCCCTATCCTCTTCTCCAACTAACCCGACTGTCTGATCCCAGATGAAAGACTGATGACTGAACGAGGGGCTGGTGTGGACGAGAGAGAGAGGGGACTCAGAGTGCCATGTGAGCAGCTGGGTTTGAACCCAAGCTGTCTCAGCAGCAACACACTGTACTTATTAGCCCATTGAACTGAAGCTTTGGTATTAGTACGGGGAGCTAACAAGCCAGAGGGCCTCTCTGGTTCATCCTAATGAAAAGAATCTTGGAAAAAAGGAAATATCCACTGTTGGCATTGAACCGTGCTAGTGCCCCCTTCCCCCCTCTCTCGCTCTCTGCGTAGTGAATGCGTGCATTCATGGGTGTGCATGTGGGCAAATGTAAAACATGAGTGTGTGTCTACGTGTGACTAATTGTGTGTATGTGTGCGAGGAGGGTGGGTAGAGCTCTGCTGCAGGACAGCTGGTTACCCAATGAGGGCAGGGCTTTTTCTCCTGTGTGTTGTGCGTGTATTTTCTTGTTTATATTGTGACGTCATTTACCTTGTTACCGCTGTACGAGAAGTTACAAGACGTACTCCAGGCGTATAGATATATTCATATATATTTTCTAGAACCAGAGAGAAAATGTTAAATCAGAAATGGAGCAATAAATGTGTTTTATTTTCTTGTTTCGAAGAAGCGGCTCGATGGAGGATTGTAGATTCTCCTTTGTCACATTCAGGCAATCATCAGGAATGCTAAATTACACATCGACTGTGAATTCATGCCTAGCCGGTTTTGGCGTGTGTCTCTCTCTGTCCCTGTCTCTTTCTGGTGAATGAAATGGATTACAAAAGTCTGGGGGGGGGGAAGGAAAACTGTAAGCACTTTGATAGGGGATAGGTAATATGTACAATAGCCAGTAGGTGTTGTTTTAGTCATACTGTATGATAGGGAGTGTGAAAGTGAGCGAGATGGTATCCAGGGGGGAATTATTTAATTTGTGAAAGAAGAAGCAGAAGAAGACAGGGAGGGACAAAGAGCAAGTGAGAAAGACTGGTTGATTTGGGAGATTGGTCGAATGAGATGGGATAAGAAAGTGTCAGGGCCATACAAGCTATTGCTTGTTGTGGATCGTGAAGAGCACTGAAGTTTTTAATGCTGTGGCTGCACTGGCATTTAAAGGACTGGTCACATAATGAAAAAAAAGCACAGTATAGACAGGTCAGACTGTATAAAGCAGATCCATACTTTCCTGCCAGTTTTATTTTTCTGTCACTGAAACTTCTGCCTCATAGCATCAGAGGGGAATGTAGGTTTGATTGAGTTTCTACTGTGGACACAGACCTTTAAAAAACCTAATAAAAACAGCTTTTCAGAATAAAACTTTTTCCACTGTGAGTTTAACAGTTGAAATTCGGTTTTCCTGTATTATGTTATTGTAGAGAGGCGAAAATGTCAAAAATTGGGCCAATACTATCAAAACTATAAACACACCTGTGGTCGAGAACAAAATCAAACACTTTTACTTGGATATTTGCCTCTTAATACTTAACCAGTATCAAAAATTAGGGCTGTATTTTTCACTGTCCAAATCTTCAATGACAGCTGCTTATCTAAAAAATATCGTCTCACCTGTAAATATTGTGTCTTTTTTTACATTGTGGCCACACAAAGTAAAGCCTTGAACAAAGCTGAACAATACTCTTTTGCCTTAGATTTACTCTGTATGTTGTCCTTTCTAAATAAAACAAAGATTTTAATCAAACAGCATAGCACACATAGCACAGATGTAATAAAACACTCGGAGACATGTCCAGCTTGTAGCTGACAATTTTTGACATTAGTTCTTAGTTCTTTATTTTGGTAGAGAGTGAGGGATTATTGTTTGAAACTAAACAATAGCATTAAAATTGCTATTCAACAATTTGGAGGTCTACATGTTTATAGTCTTGACAGATCAAGAGACTTGAGATCATTTTCAACTCTTCAAATAAGAGACAGGATGAAGTTGCCTAGTGCAGGGGGAGTAAATTTGTCAAAGTGGTTATTATGCGTAAAAGTTTTCTTAGCTGCCCGCAAGTTCCTGAAAGTTTTGCTGTTGCCCAAGTCTTCGATTGAAAGTTGGACTTCTGCACAGGGTGTAAGGTGAGACTGCCTTTGAAGCTATTGAAAGCCACCATTCTCAAATCCAGTACAAGTACTGGAGGACTGTAACAAGTAATGTAATCTAACCTAAATTTTTCAGATTCTTTGGCCAGCTGGTTTTAAATTGGCTCAATCACATGCAACATAATTATTTAGCCCCACATTTATTCAGTCACATAAAATGAATGTATTCCCAGCAGTGAGACACAACGCTGGTGTCTGAACACAAAAAGGCCGCCCCAGTTCAGCTCAGGATATGGCTGTGTGAAAGAAACTTTTATGAACATTAAGATGCAAGAAATGGTGAAGCCGGCTCGCTGATGACAAAGACGTGGGAATATTTAACTTTGCAAGTTGACAGAGAGGAAAAGATGTGTGAAATGAGCATTTCACTGCCTGTTCATACAATATGTACTGTATGTGCTGTACTTGTTAAAGAGAATCAGGCGCACAGATTTGGTATAAAGGTTTGCTAGAAAATATTACATGGAATATTTAGTTGTTTTTTTTTCTTCTACAGTACTGTTTGAATGTTTTGTCTTAACTTTAATTAATGTAAAAAAAGAAAAAAAGAAAAAACTCCAGTTGTAACACAAACTACTAAGCTGTGTAACATACGGATGCAGGACGTGTGGGCCGAGAGTGAGTGTGTCCTTGTTTGGCTGTTGATCTTTAGGCTAGTGAACTCTTCATCAACATGTCTGTATGCTCTTTTAGCAGTGACCTGAACATAGCCTGCGACATCCACTCTCCTATATACTCTTTTTGTCAACTTATTTTATTTATTTTTTTTGCCTTGAATAGAAAATTGTTCCAGGCACATTTGTGGCTTCTTTAGAATGATTTAATATAAAGAGTTGGAGAACAGATGTTTTTAACATAGGCCCCTCTGCAAGCACACCATTTTTTTTTGTTGAAGTTTGCAACAGTGCATCAAATAGGGGATGTTTTAATGTTCTGTCAACAGCAAACTGTGCATTTGTTGTTACATGTGGATGCTGTGTGATAAATCTGACTCTGAATCTTAGAAGTTGAAAGGGGGGAAAAAAAACATGTTCTGAGTGAGAAAAGTGAAAAAGAGTTTCTCCTAAACCACCTGTCAAGGTCACCATGTCCATGAATCTGTATACCTGAATGTATGACATGGTGAAGGATGGCATCCAACTGTGTCTGATTTGCTTAAACTATTGCAATGTCAGAGCATTGTTCCTGTACAACTGGGTGATATTTCCTCTTTAAACAACAGGAAAGCAATACAGGGGTAGTGCATGTATGTGCATTCACAATCATGATCCACTGTGGGTATGATAAAGGAGAATACCATTGTTTTGTAGACTAGGATACTTGTTTTGTCCACCTTAAAGTTATTTCACACTACACAGCTCTAATGGTGTTATTTGGAGTTCAGATATCTTTAAAGAGACAGAATAAATAATACACACTGGAGAAGAAAATGGTGTATCATCCTCACTGACTTTGAAAATTTACCTTGCCTAAAAGCTGCTGTGAGGTGTCATGCACCACCAAATGGTTTAATAAGCTGCCAAACCAAAACACTGAGCCATTCAAATGGTAAAACTGGGTGTTAGTGTTGGGTAGTATGTTTAATTTTTCAGGTGGTTACGATGAGTCCAACAACTGGGTACTGTAGATATATTTGCAGAATTTTGCAGCAGAACCCATATCGCCTAACTCCAAAATGGAGATCGGAACCAAGACTTCCATATTAAGATTTATTTATTGTCAGTATATTTGTCTAATTATCCAACCCTGCTAGATAAAAGTAATAAAATGTGAGGCGTTAGGAAGAATGGGAAAACTCTGGGATCCTGAAACTCAGTGTGCAGCATGACATTACTGTAGGCATTAACCTAATAAAGCTATGCAAGGCTTGGTCACTCAGTAGGAAAATTTACAATTTCATTAGGATTATTAATTCAGCTATCTCGAGGCACTTTATATTACATGCTATATATAATGTAAAGATTCTATTATAGGGGGAAAAAAACTAGCAATCCAAAGATTCCTTACGAGGAGGCACTTGGCAGCAGTAGGACATTTAAAAACTCCCTTTTAAAAGAAGAAAACTCCAACAGAACCAGGCTCCTTTTGTTTAGTGTTTGACAAGATACTACTTCCTGTAATGTTCTAAAAGTTTCCCAGAGTTGTGAGAAGCCTAGCCAAGATTCAAGAAGGTTTATTCTGTAATACCATGTTTTTACATGGTGTTTACAGACATACACAGGCTGAAACAAAATGTTGTTGTGTTGTGCAATAATCAGCAAACAATAAAAATACAGTATAACAACCAAGCTGCAGCTTGATGCGACACTCAGCAAACTCAGGCATAAACAATCACACTCATCCAACTAGCAGCAGTCCTCTCACGGAGAGGGATTGAATAAGATCAGCTAAGTGTGTGTAAAGTCCCAGATTAATAGAAAACTTTGCCACTGAAAAAGGTTCTAGTCTAGCACCAGACTTAATCGCTTTCTGAGAAACGGAGCCCTAGAGCCATGAAATATTCTAAAGTCCTGCAAAAGTTGCATGTTGAGGCTATGATTGTTTTCTTCTCCAGTGGGTGTGATTTTCTGAGTATGAGAAGCTGACTTCAGTCTTCATAGCTACACATGTCTCCCTGAGTCTGAAGATTTAAGTGCTGCATATTTATTGAATGAAATGAAAACTAAGGAATAAACTGCCAGTTATCTACAGGAAGTTATTCCTTTAATAAAGTTTTAATAATGCCCTGGAGAACAAGCACTCAAATTATAAATAACAACTTGGGATCAGACCAGTATTCTAAAACCTCTGAGTTTTTCAAATTGAATGAGATCACGGCAGCCTAAAGGCACACAGTAAAAGGTTGAATGGTTAAGATGACTAAAAGACACAACACTGCTATTTTCCTTTAAAATACCCAGTTTACAGCACAAGAAATATCATACTAAATAATAATGTTTTTAAAATTCTAAATTAACTGTGTAACTAACTGAACAAGCTGGAATAACTGTGCTACAGTGTAAGTTTACGAGTGTATGTGTTGTTCAGTGTGGGCCCACCTTCAAACGGAGTGGCTGCTGCAGAAACATACAAAGGCACATAGACACACATGCATGCAGGCATGCGCGCATAGATGGGAACACTTGTGGACATATTAGAAACAGGACTAACATATAGAACAATCTCCTCTTCTGTTAATTTCATAATTTGGCTCAGTCAATGATATTACCACAGTTTACTTTATATTAGCTTTCTTGTTTTCCATCAAGGTTAATGTGCAAGCTTCTTTAGTAATGCACACACTTAAAAACATGCACAGTACTTAAAAATACTGTGTATACTTAAAATACTGCACAACAAGCCCTAAAAACTAGAAAGCTATATACTTTTCAATGATTAGCACGAGGCTGCATAGAGCATGTGAAAGGACTAGTTTAACATTTTGGAAAATACTTACTTTCACTTTTGGTGAGTGTGTGCATTAAAGAATAATTCATAGCCAACAGATGGTAATTTTAGCATGGCAAGGTTTGGAAGATGTAGGAAACCCAACCCCTCCAAACTGAAACATTCCACCTACCTTTATACCTGTAGTTTACTTAGTAATACACTTTTGTGTTTAATCTGAAAATGTAAATTATACAAAGTAAGAGGTTAACTGGCAAGTGTTGTTCCCACAGTGAATGGCTCACACTGACAAGAGAATAAAGAAATAAGCTCGAAAATTTCCAAAATGTTAAGCGGTTGCTTTAACTTTTAATGAAAACATGATTTTTTTTAATTTTTTTTTTTGGATTATGTAACTGGAGATGGACTGAGCTGAAAATTCCTAATACCATAATTGTCTGAACAGCCTGAAGGTATATGAAAGCTACCAGTTAGCCATGCTAATCGTATTTCGCCAAGTGGAAAAAGCAAAAGAGAACTGAATTTAAATGTTCCTTTATTCCCAGACATTTAAACTTGTGTATCCCCATCTTCTCTCCCTTTCCCCTATTGCCATTCAACTTTAATCCACTTTCCTCAATCAGTACACACAGGGATAATGTGTGGCTGACAAATCAGAAAACAACACTTGTCAAGATGGGAGCCCCGTTGGCATTACTCTGTCTCTCTGTGCCTCGCAGCCCATCAAAGCTAATGAAAAATAATTTTGATGACCATAGTCCACAGTGAATACACACTACGCTCAGTTTATTATCTTTCTGTCTTTCCCTTCACCCTCTTCCCTCCCCCTCCTTCTGTGTCTGATTACTGTATGTCAGGATGCATGTGTGGATCCAGTGTGTCATAATGGCTAATGGATGCTATCATTTTGGGACCTGGGTGTTTTGTTCAAAATGCTGGAATCATTAGGTAGGTTAAACTTTTCCCTAGCGTGCTCATTAATATCTGCTGGTCTCAAGGCAAGCAGATGGATCTCTAACACCGTCTCAGTGCTAGATTACATTTTAATTAATTTTGATCAGGCTTTTTACGGCATCTTCCTGACATCACCTCAAAGGCGTTCATGTTACTTGGTTTCTCAGTGAGCTTTTGTCAAAGACACCATGTGAGCATTTTAAACTAACAGTACAAGGTCAGTTAGGGAGACCACCAAAATACCATATGTAAATAAATAAAATATATTGCAGTTCAATTGTGAATTGATTTCCATTGTGGCAAGGAGTGACAAAGCATAAGAGTAAAAAAGGGTAGAATATAAAAAACCTGAACAACATACAGGAAAAGGTTAAAACACTAACTGACCTTAGGAGCAAGAAAAGCCACACCAACTACAGCTGTAACACCAATTTGTTAAGCGTGGTCTTGTAACCCAAATTTAACTGAAGGTTGATTTCAAGAGGAAACAGTTCTTCTCTGATTTACTTTAAGTAGATGATACATGTTAGCTAGCTGCCTAGCAATTTGTCTTTTGCAAGCTATCATTAGCTGATGTCATCCAGACAAAAGATGGCTTAAAGCAGGTTTGGCTTTTTTAACCCGAGTCGTTCGAACAGAAATCTGTCCACAGGCTGAGAGTCTCATTTCTAGGGAAGGATTGTTTACATCATTTAATACATGAAAAACAACAACATTGTCTACTTTTAACTAAGCATTCGGTATCGCCAATTTCACATGTTCTGTTTTTGATTGGCATGGCTCAGGAGACAACACTACTAAATTGATATCTTGCATAAAAGTCATTTTTCTATCAAAATTGCTGCACATGTAATCAGCTTTTTTCCAACTGCTGTCTGAATTATTTCTTCTGAAGCCATTTTACATCACTGTTATAGAGACTGGAGAAGATGCAGCAGTCAGCATCCTGTCATTTTACTGTTAGTGCAACATAATCAAATTAAAATTAGAGCAGAACAGAAGTTCAAACTGCATGTTGACGACTGATGATGAAACTTAAGGCACGGCCAACTTCTCTCAGCCGGTAAACTTCATGACCCGATACATATCCCTTTCCCTAGTTACGGAGATTTATAGGCGGTTGGAAGACTTCCACTGTGAGCATTTGCTCGCAGCATGAAAACAATGTTAGAAATCTGTATGGAAATAACTTCCCTTTAAATGTTGTATACTTACATAATATGCTACACAAGATTTAAAAATGTCTTCATTAGAAATACCCCAGTCAAAATGAACATAATGTTCTTGATTGTTGACTTGATCTAAGTAAGGAAACCACAATGCTGGCCATTGAAGAACAGATTGTTTTATATTTTTGATCAGACAAAAAAAAGTTTTGAGTTGCTCTATATACAACCCACTCGTTTAGCCATCTGCCCAAGTTATATTGAACTATGTACTTGTGTATGTGTGTCTGTATGAGTGTGATTATGTGTGTGGTACAAGGAGAGATGGTTAAAACCCCTACTGTTCCTCCCTTCAACCTCCCACACACAATCTGTCAGTCTTTCCTGCTGTCTAATACGGAAGGTATCCACATTACTACACACACACACACACACACACACACACACACACGCACATATACACACTGGTCTGAAGCAAACATGACTAAGGTTGATTCTCAGAAGCCACATGAGGGTACCTTGAAGTCCTCTATGAGATCCTGATGTAACACATTGCAACCTCTTGTCATACAGCCATGCAGAACAGAGTGGCCGAAGTGGCCTCCCGGTGCCACTGTCACTGCAACTAAATTGAATGTCTTGGTGTCTATACTCCAGTTCCAGTAGTGTCTCTTGCTCGCTTGCTCTCTCTCTCGACAGCCGACATCTGAACTCTCAATGAAATCTCTACAAAATTCACAGCTGAGGCATTTTCTGAGGGGCTTTTTTTTTTCCCAAATAATAACATTGTGAGAGAGTCAACACCTGCTTCTTCTTTCTGTACAAACCAGTCTTTTAGCTCCTCTTTTTCCTCCCGAGTAGCCCTGCAGGCACTGTGGTCTTGTCTTTCTCTCTTCTCACGCCCCCTCACTTCCGCTTTTTTTCCTTTAATTTATTGTGAATTGATTTCTAAGTTTGGTTCGCCTCTGTCGCTGAAGGTGAAGATTTCTTTTCTGTCTTCCTTTTTGTAAGATTGACCCTTTTTTTGTTAACTTTAGTCACTGCTAATGTAACAAAACGCACTGTGATGATTCCAGTATTAATAAAAGTTGTACTTAAACTGTGTGCTGCTGTGTAAAACGAATCTTTTTATTCAAGAAATATGGTCAGAATCCTAAACCATCTACAGAGTTTAGTATGCACTGTAAGAAGCGATTCAGTATGGGTCAGTGAATAGTCTGTGTGGCATCTATAGGCCAGTCAGCGGTAGAAAGGCTAACTGTAGTCACTGAACCAAAGAAAGACACTTGCACTTTCAGTGCATAATAACAGTGGTTAGGAAAAGATTCCATATCCCATTGGTACATATTTTCCACAACAATAACTTTAGGCAGATAATGTAAATAAAAAGTCGAATGTCTAGGTTAAGTTAGAGTTAAAATGAATTACACTCTCTCTCAGATGTATATAGAAACATTAAATAGGAGTCTGCAGATGAGAAAAGAGTAATATGTACAGGTCAGCACAGCTCACATTTATATAAAAACATGGTCTTTATGTGTATTGCACATTCCTCTCCATATGCAGAATACAAGGCCTTATGTATGTGGCACACCTTCAAAAAGGAAGAAGGCATGCCAATTATTCAAGGTCTTTCTCTCTTCTAAGCTAGAAAAGAAGTGCTCTAAAGGGCTGTCTCCAGATGAGTCTATATTCTTACAAATAAGGTTCCTCTGTTATCGTTTTTTTTTGTTAACTCGGTTTTCCTGGGTCTTTTCACATGTGTCATGAATAAAGCTTCTTTTTTTCGGTACTGGCACTAGTTTTATTTTGTTGTATTTATCCGCGACACCTTAAAGGCCGGTCCGTGAAAATATTGTCGGGCACAAACCGGCGCAAAAAAGGTTGGGGACCGCTGAGGTAGGGCATTAACAGGGAAAGGGGGGCACAAAGAAATACTTCTTTCTTATTCTCATTTAAAATGTCTAGCTTTTTATAAATAATCTTACAACCAAAGTGGTCAAACGCATAGAAATCATACATATATACCAAAAAGAAACTGTACATCAATGTCACAACAGTGTTTGTTTTCTTTCAAAGGCTTTATGGCTTTTCCTACAATACCTGGTGGGCCGGTCTCTAGCCAAAATGCCCGGGCCGATTATTTGTCCCAGTCCAGCCCTGAGTACCATTATGCACAGCTACTTTCTATAACGTTAATATTTATTTAAACTATTTTTCTCCAAGTGATCTTTCTGAGTTAACTTCAGTAATAACTTCCTCCAAACCATCAACGTGTCTTTTAGGCCCCATTCCTACAAGACTGCTTAAACAAATCCAACCATTAATTAATCCTTCAATCTTAAATATGACCAATTTGTCTCTATTAATCGGCTACAGCTTAATCCATTGTTTAAAAAGCCATCCCTTGACCCAACTGTTTTAGCTAACGTCATAAATTCTGGAAAGAGCCACCTACATGTTCATTCTTTTTCTCTGAATTTAAACCAGTTTCATTATCCCATCTTACTGATATAATAATGCACATGAAACCAACTACGTGCCCCTTGGATGTGTCACCTATACGCCATTTTTCAGAGATGTGCTGAAGACAGTCGGCCCTAACATCCCCACTATTGTAAATGGCAGTATCTCAAATGGAACTGTTCCTCATTTGTTTAAACAAGCTGTTGTCCAGCCACTTCTAAAAAAAAACCTGGTTTGGAGACATCAGTTCTCTAAGCTGTCTATTGTTCTTGTCTAAGGTTCTCGAGAAAGTTGTCCTCCACCAATTATCCTCATAATTGGTAACACACATAATATTCCGGATAAATATGAGTGTAGTTTCAGAGCCTTCCACAGCACAGAGTCTGCTCTACTGAATGTGTTCAATGATGTGCTTTTAGCTGCTGACTCTGGAAAAAGTACAGTTTTAATTCTTTTAGACCTGAGTGCAGCATTTAACATTGTCAACCACACAATCCTATTAAACCGTCTAAGACATGTGTCGGCATTCAAGGCTCTGCTCTAAAATGGTTTGCCTCTTACCTAGAGAGCAGATCATACTCTGTGATGCTGGGTAACAAATACTCTTCCCCAGCTACACTCACTTGTGGAATACCTCAGGGCTCTATTCAGGGCACTGTCTTATTCTCCTTATACATGCTCCCATTAGGCTCCATTTTTCAGAAACACCAAATTTCCTATCACTCTTATGCAGATGATACACAGTTCTACCTCTCTCTAAAACCAGGTGCTGATAGCACATTGCAGAAAGTCTCAGATTGTCTTAGCGACATACATTGCTGGATGTCTCTGAACTTTCTCAAATTAAATCACAACAAAACCGACATTATAATTTTGGGTAAGCAGGACTCTGTTAGTCTTATAAGAAACGACTTGGGCCCATTATCAGCTAATGAACATCCCCATGTAAAAAAAAAATCTTGGTTTCATTTTTGATTCTACCCTTAAGCTGGACAAACAAATAAATTCAGTTGTTCATGGCAGTTTTTTCCAACTCAGGAGCATTTCTAAACTAAAAAAATCCTGTCATCTAAAGACCTGGAAACTGTTATCCATGCTTTCATATCATCACATCTTGACTACTGAATTCTCTCTATTTAGGCATCTTTCACTTAAGCCTGCCCCGCCTGCAACTTGTTCAAAATGCACCTGCAAGGCTCCTGACGGGTACCGGAAAGAGAGAGAGAGAGTATTACTCTGATACTCGCGTCTCTACATTGGCTGCCAGTTAAATACAGAATTGATTTTAAGGTTTTATTATTTGTTTTTAAAGCCCTCCGTGGTTTGGCTCCAGGTTACATTTGAGATCTTCTTAGCCTGCACCTACCCACTCAAACTCTGCGCTCCTCCAGTCAGATGCTTTTATTAGTTCCAAGCTCCAAGTTCAAATCTAGAGGTGACAGGGCTTTCTCCATTGCTGCCATGAGACTCTGGAACAGTCTTTCATCTTTTATAAAATCCTCTTCCTCCTTGGAAATCTTAAAATCGAATCTGAAGACCTACCTATTTTCCAAGGATTTCAGAGCTCTCTGACACCTCTTTTATTCTGTTTTAGCTACTCTGGTCTTTTATCTCATTGGATGATGTTTGCATGTGTATACGTATACATGTATTTTATGTTCACGTATGGTAAATGGCCTGTATTTGTATAGCGCTTTACTAGTCCCTAAGGACCCCAAAACGCTTTACATATCCAGTCATCCACCCATTCACACACACACATTCACACACTAGTGATGGCAAGCTACATTGCAGCCACAGCCACCCTGGGGCGCACCTTCAGAGGCGTATGCACACGTATGTGTGCTTGTGTGTGAATGTGTACATTTTTGTATATGTATGTGCATATTTGCATGTACACATACATATTTACAAACATATATGGATGTCTTACAATGTTTTCTATTATGTTTTCATAATATCTATTTTTTTTGTTTTTATTATATTATCCCTCTGTTTAAATAAAGATGACTTGACCTGAAAGAGTAAAACAACTAACTGATCATCTGGAGAGGAATGTTTCAGTCAGGTTTCAGAGCTCGTCACATTTAGTGAAGGTTACAAATGATCTTCTTGTGTCTTCTGACAGTCGACTCATCTGTAGTCCCCTGTCTGTAGGTGTAACTGTAGGTATTAAATGTATTGACGGTGGTTTGAATCATATCTATCTAATAGACTCCAATTTTTACCTCTATTCAAATGATACCAAACTTTATCTGTCCATTAAGACAGATAGCATATACCAGTTAGTTAAACTACAGGAATGTCTTAAAGACATAAAGACCTGGATGATCTCTAATTTCCAACTTGCAAATTCAATTTATAGAGGGCTAATATATAAAATATTAACCAACTATGTAGGACTGGTTCCATTGTGCAATATCTCTAAGATTGCAAACATCCTGTCTCAGAGTGACACTAAAAAACTAGTTCATGCATTCATTACTTCAAGGCTTGACTACTGTAATTAGTTATTATCAGGATGTCCTAAAACCTCCATGAAAAGCCTTCAGTTGATGCAAAATCCTGTACTGATAGAAACACCCCTCTCATTTTAATGACCTTATAGTATCATGTCACCCCATTAGAGCTTTCAGACTTACTTGTTGGTCCTAGAGTATTTAAAAGTTGAATGGGAGCCAGAGCCATCATCTTTCAGGCCTCTCTTCTGAGGAACCAGCTCAAAGCTCTACCTTTAAGATGAGGTTTTTAAACTTTACTTCCTTAGATCCTTCTAAGGAATTCAATGGGGATGTGGCAAACAACTCTAGAGGCCAACTTCAAGCCAATAGCGCAAGTCACCATCAAGCGTGGGATCTACCAAGGAGAAGCTTTGTCCCCACTGCTGTTCTGCCCAGGCCTGAACCACCTCAGTGAGATAACTGACTGGCTGCAGATACTGACTACAGAATGGATAAATCGTCAGCAGCCTCCTCTGGATTACAGCAAGCTGTACGCCAGGAGTGAATGAAGCATCAATTCACACCACTAGGATCTACAGCAACAACATTTGAATGTCATTCAAACTGGAGAACTGTAGTCAGATAGCAACACAGAGAGGGAAGGTAGTCCGAGCTGAGGGGATCACACTACTAAAAGGCAGCATTGCAGATATTGAGGTACCTGTGAATCCTACAGCTAAATGGGAACCACCAAGAGGCTGAAACGAAGCTGAAACCAAATACAGAACCTGCAGAGACTAAGACAAGTCTTCAGGAATCAGCTGAATGAAAAGGAACAAAATCTGAGCAACCTATGCCCTCTCGGTTATCAGATAGCCTACTTGGACAATGAACAGAGCCAAGATCCTGTGGGACTTGCAGACATTTCTGGTGATGGCTAACCAACTGGACATAACAGTGGTGAACAAGCAGAATAAGAAGATGGTCATAGTGATAGATGTTGCCATACTGAGCGATAACAACTTCAGGAACATGGAACATGAGAAGCTCGAGAAATACAAGGGCTGAGAGAAGAGGTTGAAAAGATCTGGAGAGTGAAGGCAAGAGTGGTCTCAGTGGTAATTGGAGCACATGGAGCCTCTGGTGGAGGACCCAAACTTGAACGATAAAGACTGTGTGCAGGCGGAGAGGGGAATT